CAGGAGGCCCCAGTCACCCTTGTGGGGGGCTGCTTGCTCCCCAGGAGGCCCCAGTCACCCTTGTGGGGGGCTGCTGGCTCCCCAGGAGGCCCCAGGGGCCGCAGCCGCTCTCAGTGGAAGCTCCAGGGTGTCCTGCGCCAAGCATGTCCAGGAGCTTGGGGACAGGCGACACAGCAAATGGAGAGAACAAGAACTACGCTAGACTGAGATGGTGCTGAGGGATCAGCACTGTGAAAAGCAAAAACCGGGCACCAAAGTAAAATGTTTATGCAGGGACAGGCGGCCACAAATACACGGATGCTACGTATTTCCACGAGTCCTCTGGGACTGGCAGATTTGAAGCTACTTGTGTAATATTTCTAGGATACAGCGTAGAAGAGTTAAAGCTCCCGAGACGCTGAAAGGGAACTTTCTGAGTCTTTTCTTATCAACCTCTCCACGTGTCCCAGGAGCTACTAACACCAAAACTCTAGAAAATGCAACACTGGACAATGCTTAGTCTACATCACATGCCATCTCAACACACCAGGCAACAGTTAGCCAAGAGAAAAAAACGTGTGAGTGTGAGTGTGAGTGTGTGTGTGTGTGTGTGTGCGTGCGTGCTCTGTTCTGGAAAGATATTTTCTGGGACCCAGTATAACAAAAATGGCAAGACAAACACACTTGGGCATTTCAAGTATTCCATTGCAAAATGAAGCCTACACCAACACCGTTTAGGCTACCCAGTCAGGGTTCAAAACAGAAAAAAAGACCAAGAAAGAAATTACAAACCTAATGCTTTGTCTATATCAAGTACCTTCGGGGCACTCGAGGGAGTGAACAAATTTATCACTTGGTATCTCTCTGGACTGCCCATGCTTGCTCTTTATGTTTTCACCAGGGTTGAAGAAGCAGCCTGGAAACAGGCGAGCTGTAAGTGCATGCCGCTCTTGAACTTGTTCAGCAGTTCTTCCAGTAACCTGCAGGGAGGAGACGATTTTTACGTCTTGACAGAAGGAAAGTTGCCTGGCAACACAAGAAAACGTGCTAAGGGGAGAAGGGGAGAGGATGACTCCATCTCTGCTTCTGCAACATTATTCATCACAGTATTCTGAACTCACTATCAGAAATGTCAATCAAAGACACTCATCAAAAGGGATGTATTTATATATATCTGTATTAATATGTCAGTCTCCCTCCTGTTCCCTTCCCCTAGAATAATTCTTTTCCTCCCTAAAACAGATTAATGTTTGGGCCTTCACTTTTCCTTTTATTTGAAAATTTTTTACACACACTAACATGGGCTGCTTTGGGTATACAGTTCCATGAATACTGAAAAACGCATCCCCGACAGTGGGGATACAGAATAGACCCATCATCCCCAAATTTTCTTGTGACCCTTAGGTAATCATCTTTCTCTTGACTCCCACTCACGGGTGATTACTGGTCTATTTCTGTTCCTCTTAGTTTGCATCCCTGTTGTAAACCCTGAAAGTGTAAGAGGCGCAGTGGGGAGTGACCTCTAAGCCAGCGGGTGGTGCTCACCGCCAACCCACTGTACAAGGTGGAGCTTTCCAGACTCCGCCCCTTGACACTGTGTGTGGGGTTCACGGAAAACAGAGGTGGAGCTGGGCTTCTGACAGCTAAAATGGCTAGTGCTTGGATAGTTACACAACTGGGGGTTCATCAGCTATACTGGTGAAGAGAGCTATCTGTGAAGAAGCTACTTCCAGTATGGTTTTGGCTTGGATGCTGGTCTCTGCTGAGTGGACGCGACCTGGGGTCGGACCAGTGGTGTCTGGCATGTGCCAGCCTGTGAACGCTCTCTCTCCCCGGGTAAATAAGTTCTGCCATTGTTGTTTCTCCTTGTGCTTGCGCTGGGGTCGTGTCCTGCACTCTTATACACACAGGGGAGGCCCCCAGGAACGTCAACACAGTTCCCCTGGTCTGTTCTGGTCCAGCTATTGCAAAGTAGTGAACTATCAGGGATACCTATCATTCTACATTGACAACCAATTTGTTTCCTTAACTGGTCTGATCTATCTACATGCCATCTGAGGGCAAGAATGGATCTTAAAATCAATCGGTTAGGTAGGGCTTATTAACACTGGTGTCAAGAGATGCTGAATGTCGAAGGCCGCTCCTAGATAAGGATCTGAGATAAAGCTCCCACAGGGACTGCATCAGAGTGTCTCTTGTTCTTGCCTTTCCTCCAAAAGCACAGCCTCAAGTCCTATTCCATGTTAAAAACAACAGTGACTGTTTCAATCTTTTACCACCTTTAAGCAGCTGAACGGGATTTGGAGCCAATTCAAACAGAGGAGGCAGGAGAATGGACACAGGGCTCTAGGTGAGGGTGCTGTTTGGACAAGTACCCACTGGCCCTGTGGCAATACACCAGCGAAAGAACCAGCCTGCTGCCCATCCTTCCGGTCCAAGTCTCCATCGCCACCTCACATTTCCACTCAGTTACTCGTCTCGGGACCGACAGCCAGGCACACAGGCCGGCGGCCTTGTGTTGCGGCCGGTGAAGGAGCAGGGAGCAGCATTTCCTCTGCCTCCATGAGGGCAGGCTGGGCATTTAAGAAATTTGCCTGGCCTAGATTTTGGCCCAGGTCAGAATTTCCTGTTACAGGAGAGCACGGTTTCAACGCGAGCAGAGGCCCTCAGACGGTGTTAGACGACTGACACATGCACAGCTGCGCCACGTCGCTCTTCCTTCCTTCACACTGAGCACACGGAACACACGGCCGGGCTCAGGGCAGGGACACGGATCACGGGGCCCCGTGCTGACCACGCGAACCTCCTTTCTACTTTTCTCCAAGTACCTTCCGAACACTTTAAGATAGGAACACAGTTTACTGGGAGTCAGAAGAAGTTTTCTAGCGCTGCTTTCGGGACCAATGTCCTAAAACAAGAAAAGAAACCGCAGAAAGGTTCTACCTTGTCCTGTCCCTTACGGGATGGGCCGGGTGCGGCCATGGGGCGAGGTGAGCCACTTTGCCTTTACCAAGCCATTATTTGAAGAAAGAAGGAAAATAATACTTTGCGACGCCAGGCTCGCTGCGCTCCGCTAGAGGCTGCTGTACTTACTTCTTATCTGCTCCGCTGGAGAGCTGGGGCAGGGCTTCCAGGGCCTGTTTGAAACTGCACCTGGAACACAAACAGCAGGGTTGAACACTGTCCTATTTCCAAGGGGAACTAGGAGCATCACTGAGAATTTTTCAACTTCCATCCAAAGACACTGCGACAAGCCAGTGGAGCATGAAGAAATAGGAGAAAAAGTAAAAGTGAAAAACAATAGAAAAAGTAAAAGTAAAAGTGAGGGTACAGTATGTAGGAGCAGGGTCAGACCAGCTCAGCTAGGAAATGAAACACAGTCTGCCAGGCTGAGGAGAAGCTGAGTTTTAGGCGTGCTGCTCGCGGTGGGTCAGACCTCAATGGGGAAAGGCTGAACTTAAAAGGACTATGAAAAAAACAAAACAAAACAAAACAAGACTGAGTGGAGACAAACTGAGCGGTACAAAGAGAGGAAGCTAAGGAGAAAGGGGGATGAGCTCCTGAATACCAGAGTACTGACAGACCAGGGCCTGACCCATAAGCCCGGGCCTGAGACTGAGGGCTTTATGGATACAGCTGGCCACACACGTCAGACTTGCGAGAAAGAGAGAGATGTCTGTCATCTTTAAAAAATTTTAGTATCATTTCATTTCATAAAAAAGGGAAAAGGAGTGAGTTAAAAAAACAAGACACTAACTTGGGATGTCTGACTTTCTAAAGTAGAAAGTACCAGAGTTACTGACTCAAATGAAAAGTATTTTATGGGAGGTTATGGTAGCCACCTGGACTGTTCGCTGAAGAGCTTCTTAACTTCTTTTTTTTTTGATCTTTCGTGGCTGGGTGACTAAGGTAAAAAATAAATGTAATTATTCTTGACTTTAAAATGGTCTTGATTTTGTATTCGGAAAACATCCTCCACCTGTCTCGGGAAACACACTGTGCAGCGATGCTGCCGGGCCAGGGCCAGGCATCGGCCGACAGAGAGACTGCAAAGTCCCACTGGGTCATAAATATCAGCCCTGGGAAGCTTCAGCTGCCTCAGAAACGCGCAGGGCATGGGTGTGGCTTGGTCTTGGAGGTGGAATCAACGTTTCTCTTTCCTGATGTAAAGTCTCCGCTATCACCTCTGTTATCTTATTTTTTGTAAAGCAGAAGAAAC